AGGAGCATCAGAGGAAGAAACATCTGTCAGTCTGTTCATGTAACGAACTCTCTTCCTTAACATACCCTGATTATATTGCTCAATAACAGTTCAAAAATTCTCAATCATCTCTAAGTAAGCCTTCAATGAAGCCAAAGCTTAGATGCACTGCCATTATTAATCTACTGGACTGAAACCACAGATACTCATCTAAAGAGAAAATTATTCATCATTCTTCGTATATGCATTGTCCCACGTGTATTATTTTCTCCCAGTAGAAGTTAGGAAAACTAATGAAAGAGTACAAGTACAAGAAGGAACATAATCTTTCAAGAAGATTTCCATGAATACATATATTAAGTATAGCTACATTCACATTGTACTCCAAACATTTCAAAACAGTATCAGTCTTAACCTTGCAGCAGCTAGAGCGTGGCCAAGTTCATGCACTGAAACTGATATGATGGAAGATATGCACAGATATCCAATGTCAGCCAGTGAGATGGTCAAGCCTGATATCTGCGCCCAAAAACAAATGAAGCAGATGCAACTGTTTAGAGAACTCTTGATTTGAATGCAAATAGCAGTTTCTAGCCCAGATCATGTCTATGTAGGTCACAGCCATGCTCATCCCTTACCTTAAGCCCAAAAAGATAGCATAAGTCAAGACCATTTCACCCCTTACCTTATTAAGCCAAATAGACAACCAACATAGGTACACGTTAGAAGCAGCTTAAACATGCCTAACATCTTGCCTAAGAAAATAAACTATGCTCAAGAAAGAGAGCAAAAGGACAAAGGTAACTTCATCAATATTCTCTATTCATTTTTGCTTTTCAGAGGGTTGTAAGTTTAATTGTATTGAGAACAAGAGAAGAACTGGTACATGGGTCGGAAAAAAAAACAATTTTTTGATTGGTATGTAATTGGAGTTCATTTATTTGCAACCTTGAGTTATGTTATTCAGTTCTACGAATGCCTAGAAATGACAGGAAAAATCATTTACTTTTCATAAAAAAAAATTCCTGTTCCTAGCCATGATGGTAATGAAGTATTGGTTTGAAGCACAGTAATCCAAAGAAAGACTGAAAACCAAGTGAGTTATAATGTGAGAATACATACCATAGAAGAAAACCCCAACAGATATCCACTCATAACATAGCTCATCTGAGAGTTGCTANTTTATTTTTTGATTTATTTTGGAGTTGTTTTCGGGAGGCAAAAATCACGTGCTCACAAGCCTCTTTAGACGCGATTTAATTAAATTATTTTCTTAAATTCGGGTGCACATTTATGTGACCCAAATCCAAATCTCAGCGGAGTCGAAATGTGTCTCTAATCACGGGTATATTGATTGTGACGTGGTTCGAGATGCATTTCCACGACGTTGCAATGGAAAGTATGATATTAAGCTTTTGATTGCAGTTGCAGTAGATGCCAACGGGCAAATATTTCCACTAGCTTTTGCCATATGTGCCTACGAAAGTAAAGAGACATGGACGCTTTTTTTGAACCACTTGAAGCAGCACGTTGTCAAATAGCGTTCAGGTATTTGTCTAATATCTGATCGGCATGATGGTATTTTAAGTTTTGTACGTCACTTGCCTTAATGGCAGGAACCATATGCATACCACCGTTACTGTGTGCGTCACCTGAAGGCCAATTTCCAGAAGAAATATCCTGACAAGGAATTGCATGACTTAATATGGCTGGCTGCAATTGAGCACCAGCAGTGCAAATTCACGAGGCGCATGGAAGCGATCCGGCAGTTAGAACCACGAGCCTATACTTGGTTGATGGGGCATGAGCTTCACATGTGGACATTGCATGCTGATGGCGGCAAATGATGGGGAGCCCTCACTACAAACGTGTCGGAGTCATTCAACGGCTTGTTGAAGTCTGCCCGTG